TTTTGTTTTCTTAATATGTAGTCATTTTATGATTATTCACCAAATTCACCCTGGATCCATATTGATTTTAAGGAATTCATATTTTCATATTAAAAACTACTTATAGCTTATTTTATGAAAATATTTCTGTAAAATAGTATACAAAATATTATTGGTAAAAAAAACATATATAACACTAGAATTTTTTCCCTTAGAACTGGCTTATATATAAAACTAGACTCACAGAATCATATAGCACTAGACTTGATTCCAAACATATTTATGATTTATAACGAATAGTCTGCTCCAACCAGTCAGAGGAAAAAATCAATGATTTCCTCAGCCAGGAAAAGAAAATCATCTTCATTCCTCCCTGATGGCTTTTCTATTTATCCCCATTATACTATTCTTTTTAAATTAAGGCGACCATGAACAAGAGCCAACCTCAGTATTTTCCCAGGAAGTAGCGTTGTGTTGAATTCTAAACTTATGAAGTCAAAGCTAATAAAATTCAAACTTTTCTTCTCCTTCAAGGCTTATATAATCTAACTCCAAGTCCTCAAACTCCTCACAACCAATTTCATCATCTCGATATTGACTAGTGAGGCATATAAGCGAAAAAAGCTTTTTGTACGTTATTCAATAACTACTAAAAGAAAATGATGATGAACAAGGTTAGTTTGGGTTCGATTCTGTTTATTATGTTGGTGGGTTCGGTTCTTGTAGTGGAGGCTCGTCCACTGGGTTTAACGAAGGCCGAAGAGAAGCTAGCGGCTAAGTTCTTTGATGGTTTGTCACTTGGTGCGATCAAGGACTCGGGTCCTGGCTCTGGTGGTGAGGGTCATAAATTCGTGGAGCGGAGTGAGCCAGTTGTATATGGTAAGCACTCTGGTCCCAGTCCGAGCGGACCTGGTCACTAACTTAGGAACCATTGGTTCCGAGTTCCAACCGAACTGGTTAAGGTGGCCGCAATTCGGTCTAGTTTCATAAATTCATTACTTCTTTCGTTTCTTTTATAAGTTTTATTTGTTAATTGTTATACTTGTACCTTACACATTTTTTATAAGGTTTTTTTACCTTTACATACGAATACAATAATGGAGAACAAATTGGAGGAAACCAAGAATTGGTAGAACTTCATCTTCTCTCTGTAGGATTTTTTTGGGTTTACTAATGGTTGTAGTCTATTTGAAATCGATATACAATGTACTAAAATTCATTGATTATATTGTTTATATATTAATTATATTTTACTTTTTGCATGTTTTAATATTATTAGATTCTGACAACAATTATATTTAAAAAAAAAACAGTTTTTGCATCAACAATTGTACTCGTTCCATTAAGATTTACCATATGCGGAATTTACATGCATCGCTCTTATATGTATATTTATTCTTTAATATACAGAATTACGATGACGGTTCTAATTGCATCACGACAGAAACTTCATGTAAATTTGTTTGTTAATTATGTAATACTAGGTGATTTTCCCGTGCTCATGCACGGGTATGAATATTCATAAAAGTAAAATTTTATAATAATTAATTGATATTTAGTTTTAGTTTTAAATCAATTTATATGTATAATTTATATTAATAAATATTATATTATTCTAATTATACATATGACTTTGAAGATATTATTGTCGGTTTAATTTTTTTTTTTGGATCAGTAGTCAGTTTGGTTATCAATTTAGTATATTGGATACTATATATTTTTATTTTTATTCTAAATATAATAAAATTTTGATTAATTTTCTTTTTTTTTTCATTTCGTTTGGTTATTGTCAGTTAAATTGTGTACAGCTTAATATATATTATGTTTAAAATGAAATAAATAATAAGCTGGAGTGTTTGATTCAAAATTACATAAATTCATATAATGATAATATTTGAAATCTCATGCATATATAAAAATTATGCAAAATAATTAATTGAAATTGGTTAATATTTTCTTTTTCTTTTTAATATGATTTAAGTCAATCTCTAATTTATATGTAAAAAATTAAATAGATTAATATTATTATTATAAAATTATATGTCCTTATTCTAGTTAGATGTTTAACTTTGGATATAAATTAGATTAGTCGAGTCATACATGTTGTGAGTATATTGAGTTAAATATATTTTAAATTAAAATTGAAGTATAATTACTTTTTATTTTAGTTAAGTCAAACTAAATTAGTTTTATCGCTTAATTATACATGTATTTTCATAATATTTATCAAATTATATGTTGATCTCTAAAACATATTAGAAAATAAAGTGTAATTGATAAATTTTTGGATGTTCATGAACATATATATTTTTATTATTTTAAAAATATATTTATGTTATTTAAAACTATATATTAATGGGAATGTTACTATTTTGTGAAGTTTCTTTTTTAATAAAGTCATATTATATACATATATTTCGTTTTTAAATTTGTTTTATAATTGTACAAATATTTCTTTTTTATTATATATGTTATTTGGAAAAAGATAAAAAATAAACTAAATAAAAAATAAATAATAATTTTAAAATCTAATAATTCATTAAGGGTATCTATGTAATCAACCATCGCGAGAGTTAACGTGAACGCGACACATAAGAAATTGACTTCTTAAATAATATTATAGAGATTGTACGTAGTCATGTAGAAACATTATCTGAGAATCAAACCCCAAACTTTATTGTATAAATCATTAGTTAACTATTTTGTCAAACCATTAGATTAAAAGACTTTCAAAATTAATACATAAACTTCATATTAAGTTATGTTTTAATCTGAATAAGATTAATGCGCACATAGATATATACAACCCTTGGAAACGAGTATATCAATGCACAAAGTGAGATGCATGTTATAGCATTGTCCGAAATATAGTCAACTACAGTAGTACTAGTATGCAATCAAAATCATATTGATTGGTTGATCTCTGTTTCTCAAGTTCTAATTCGAATGGTTTGGTTTATTAACGCCTTACACCGAGAACTGCTACAAAGAGATTAGCGAGATTGAGAAATTGATTTACACGGATTCTTTTTGTTAAAGACTCTCTTTTGTTACCTCAGTTTCCCATGTTTATATTGTTCAGAAAAAAATTATTGATGTGAATTTATAGTTTAAAATATTTCATTTCTGAAACCTTGTAAATACCTAATTAAGTAGACGAAGTCTAGAGTAAAATCAGTCAAACATATTCTGCGTGATGTATGCATTTTAGACCTCAGTTGTCCTATGATTATATGAAGTGAGGCAAATAATTGTTGACGAATGAGGTCAAAGCACTAGAAAAATCACATACTGATTAAAGGGTTGGCTAATAAACAAGTTTTCCGAACCTTTAAAATTTAACGTTCCCAACCGTAGGATAAAGTGGATCATGGGCCTAGAGAGAAAAGCCCTGTAGGCATACGGGAGAGCGGACAGAGGCGATACACTTAACTCTTAGCGGCTTTAATCAAAGCTGTGTTTTTAGTTCTATATATAGTTTATCTGTAACATCCCAAGTTATGATATATGGAAAAATTTGATAGAATTAATTCGGTTATCTATATTACCAAAGTGTATTTACTTTTCCGGAAATACATCCAAAGAGAAATTCTGAGTTAAGCGTGTTTGAGTTGGAGTAGTCAAATGATGGTTGATCTTATCGAGAAATGATTTGCGATACCGTGTAAATGAGACCAATACACTAAGAAAGATCATGTGATGATTGCATGATCAGTAAACATGACTTTTAGGCCTTGGAAAAAGTAAGGAACCGACCGTTGGAACGGGATAAGGCCCCATGGGCCGAGAGAGCAGGCGTGGATGGGTTATTAGCCATGGACAATCGGAGCATTACAAATGGTATTAGAGTTGGTTAGTCATCTCAGTTTTGACCTGAAAGATGTTTTGAGACCTGTCGCGGGGCACAACGAGGACGTTACGTTCTTTGAGAGGGGGTTAATTGTAACATCCCGAATTGTGATATATAAAAGATTTGAGATAATTGATTTGGCTACCTATGTCACCAAAGGGCACTTATCTTTTCGGGAGAACATGCAGAGATAACTCCAAAGTTAAGCGTGTGTGAACTGGAGTAGTTAAAAGATGGGTGACTTATCGAGAAATGATTTGTGATACCGTGTAAGTGAGGCCAAAGCACGGTGAAATGTCATGTGGTGATTGTAGGATCAGTAAAACATGATTTCGAGTCTTTGAAAAAATTAACGGACCAACCATTAGAACGGGAGAGAGCTCACAGATCGAGTGAACGGGCGTGAGTGACCCATTAGCCGTGAACGGTCAGTACGTTACATTATGCGTATAGATTGCCAAGTCTATCAAGGTAATGCAATCATAATGATTGAGCACTTTGGTGGACATAAGCCATTGAAATCAAAGGCTGGAGATAGACTGATAGAGTGCCCCGTGATGCAAGGAATATGGATGGCAGAATAATTGTGAAGGTACAATAATTTGACCATATGCGTACTTTGCTTGTGTTTTTCTTAATCTTTCTTCAATGGACTATCATGTTTAGGCTACAAAGGCATGGAATGAGTCAAGGAATATGATTCTACAGTTGACTTAGGAAGCAAACTCTAATAATCCCAAACTTCAGAGATGGTTGGATGAGTTTGGTGAGATTTACAACAAGGCTGTGGTTGTTTTATCAGTTGATATTGCCTTCCTTGGTTCAATTTTGCTTAAATAGCCCTTCCTTGCCATCGCACATATGTATAGTATAGCAGTGTTTTCCTTCTTTTGTCTTTAATATGGTTAATGTTTCATAACATGTAGCATGTAGAGGACAGGTTTACAGAGCGGGACTTATGGTGGCGGAATCAAATGTGCATTGTCAGTTGCTTCAATATTGGCTTATGCTACAGGTTTTGGCTCGCAGCTGAGTAAACTGAAATTAGCAAGTTCTTTGCTAGATCTTAATTTTACTTTCAAACTACTTGACATTCTATTTCAGTTCTGTTCATTGGTTTGTACACATCTTTGTTATGTCAAAGACAAATTGAATCATCTCAAGAGTCTCATGAGAAGTTGTTTTCTTAAATAGGACAATTCTAGAAGAAACATAAAAGGCGCACAAACTCAGGTGATATTTATTTGTATGACAATCCTAGAAGAACCATTTCGCCATAAAACATCACTAGTAATAACAAAATCCTTGAATAAACCATGTCATAGAGGTTTGTATGACCGAAGCTTATAGGCTAATGGTTTTTATTAGTACTACTATTATTTTGTGCCATGTGATAATAAACTCTTTAGTATTAACTTAAATCTCTCTCACTACTCAATCTTCCCTATCTCAATAAACTCTCTAAACCCTACACTACCACCATTACCTCCCTGCACCATACATAAACTTCCTCCTCCGCCGTTTCCTAGCTGTAAATCCGTCATGTAACTCCTCACTTCCGTCTTAATCATCTCTTGCACCACCCTCATGAAGTCCCCACTAAATCTTGCCTTATCCTCCTCTTGTTTCCTCACTGGCGCCGTGTCTTTTCCTTGAGTTGACTCGTTGACCCAAGGTAGAGACAAACTCAGACAAGTCGCCGGATCTTTCACCGTAGATTCAATAACCACACCACCAGCTCTCGCCATCGGCTTGAAAACATGCAGAACAGGTCCACAAGATTGCTCGCTGACGTCAGATCCCGATGGACTTCCAGGACTCATGAACAACCCCGTCGACACAACTCCTCCATCTCCGCCGCCGCTCGCCGTCCGTTTCAACGGCTGCTCATCCGTTAAACTACCATCATACCCTCCGTTTCCACCGTCGTCCGACGTCCAACCACCGCCGCCGCCGCCGCATTTCCGCTTCAGCGTCGAGTTCCAGTGATTCTTGATCGCGTTGTCGGTCCGACCGTTGAGAAGGCGAGCGATAGTGGCCCACTTGTTACCGAACCGAGCGTGCGCGTGTAAGATCGTCTCGTCTTCCTCCGGCGAAAAAGAACGGTGCTCAACCTCCGGTGAAAGCTGGTTACACCAGCGGAGACGGCAAGATTTACCGGAACGTCCAGGGATCGGTTTGCTTATCAGAGACCAGTTTCTTGGTCCGTGCTTTTGCACTAGCGTCTGCAAGAGTTCGTCTTCTTCGGGACTCCATGGACCTTTTATGCGATCCGTTTCTTTTCGGGTCGAACCAGACATCGTCGGATCTTTTTTTTGTTTGAATTTAGTCGGAGCGTTTTGAACGCGTTCTCTTTGTTTTTGTTTTGGGAGAAGAAAAGATTTTGAGAGTAGGATAAGTGAGAGAGGAGGGACTATTTATACTAAATGTGATGGGATAAGCTTTTTCTCGTTGCTTAACAGCAAATTATTCTTTCAGTTTCAAAATTAACTAATTTACACAAATATTTTTTTTTGCCAACAATAATATTTATTTTAAAAAGTGAAAATTAAAGAAATCTCAAATTTTCAAACTAAAACTACACTATTTAGTGTTTATGCCTTAGTTTACAAATAAGAATTAACATTTTTATGAGTTAGAACTTAAAATTTTTTGAGTTTTAAGCTTTAGTTTAAAGTTTAGAGCAAAATTAATAATATAAATTTAAATTAGTTTTTTAAATAAAAAATTGTATACTCTATATTTTCTTAATTTTGGTATAAAATAGTATGAGTTTTCGTAAAGACTAAAGAGGCTTTATCGACAATAATAAAATAACGGAACAAAATTTTAAGAGTCAAATCTTACTTTGTAAGCACTAAACAAAAATTCAAAATTCTATAGGAGACAAGTGTTTAAATTTGCGTAACTCTAAACTAGGATAGTTTTGTGCGTAATTGTGCTTTTGAAGATGTAACGTGAAAAGTCTGATAACACAACGGCTTGTAATGATCGTTACGTATTTGAATCTTTTATTTTTCGGGACGTTAAAGTTACCTTTTTAAAATGATAAAAACAAGTCAGCGATTGGCGATGCGATTGCGAAAGGCGTCTGTACATGACGTTAACATCAAAAGAGAATCTTCCAAGAAAACGGTTGGGGATTTGGGATACAGCTGTAACTGGACACTTGGCAAGTGAGAGTGTTTCAGAGGTTGAGCGTTTTGCGATTATTTCGTTTTCTTCTCAAATGTGTATTAAACCAAATTTAAAGAGAGGGTTGAGTTATGGTGTAACAGCTTTTGAGGAATCCAAAACCAAAATTTCTTTTCGAAAGATATGCCTACACTTTTGTTGTTGGATTCTTCAGAGATTTTCAGACTTTGGAAACCATAATTATTTAAAAGAAAAATACCATGATTTACTAAAAGTTACTGTTATTTTGGATATAAAATAAAACCAACAACAAAATAACAAAATAGGGAGCGATCAGAGAACCGATTATTAATAAATAACTAGTACTTTTTAATAATAGAGAAGACATGCTTTATGAAACTTGGAGCATTCTTATTGAAACTAATCTATAGGATTTTTTAGAAAAAAAAAAAAAAAAAAAGTATTCAGCACGATTCTCATTATTAAGGTTATGAATGAGAGTGGGAGAAAGACAGATGATATGCATCAGTGGGAGGAACTGTTTCTGAAACGGGATCATTCAACTTTTTTGTCTTTAAAAGCTTCGAATGATAAAAACAGTTCAAACGGTGTAGACTAAACGGATCAAATAAGACAAATGCAAATCAAATAGAATAAATATATGACAAACGGATCATGTATGAGAGATGCAAATCAAGCAGAACAAATAATTTATTATACATTATTAATAACAAAATCAGTTCAAAACTATAGATCATATATTAAAACAATAAAAATTACACTAAAATATTAAAACAAATATCTTAGATGTCGTAGGATCAGCTGAAATGTCAGTAGAATTTTTTCATAAGATCTTGTATTTATTCTATTTTGTTTAGGTGATCAAAATTTTCTTTGGAGAGCCGGTAGGTTACACTAATATTAAACTCTTGACTGAACTTACAATAGAAAAACTCTTTACCAATGGGTGTAGGATCTTTGAAATGGTAATTGGTCATAAAAATTATTTAATTGTATAACTTAGTAAATACTCGTTTTCAGTTAAGAGTCTATTTAAAATTGTTTCCTCTCAATAGATTTACAAAATTTCAATCATTCACCTTAATTAGTTTACAACATTAAAATATTAACTATTTACCTGTGTTGATATTTTATGTAAGAAAATTTATATTTTTTTCTTTGGAAAATGTTGTGTTTTGTAGGCGATTAAACGTCATATTTATAATTTTAAAATGACACAAATAATATTAGTGTTATATATAGTTTTAGGTAATCATTGTATATTATTTATAAAATCAAATAATTATATTTTAAAATTAAGTATTTGTAACCAAATTATTTATTAGCAAAAAAAAAAGATCAATACCACCAAATGTTTGCACTTGATCCATTTAATCTGCTTGATTCATCTCGTTTGAATTACTTTTACCATTAGAAACCTAAAAATAGATTTAATAAAAAATGAAAAATGAAGAAAATGAGATGAGTGTCTCCAATGAAGACTAGGCGCATGCACATCAAAGATTCTTAAAGAGTTATTCACTTAAAGTAGTAATATTTTAATGAGAAAGTCTTTTCAAAATTTGAGAGACTCTCTTATTTGACATTGTTCACGTTGGATCTCTCAAAATAATGTTTACTAAAGTGTTATTAATTTTAATGAGAGATTTCTTGAAGAGGTTTCTAATGGTGAAATTAAATATTAAGACACTCCTAAACACTTAACACTAAAATTCTAAAAAATTAAATATTGTTTATAATGGTGAAATACTCATGTAAATTTTTAGCACTAGTGATGTTTTAAGCTTTATTTCTTTACAAACCGTTTTCCCACCTGCCGATAACCCAATTAGTGGTGGGCATGGATCAAATATCTGTTTTTTGGAGGTATTTGTGACTCGATACGTTTTGTCCAGTAATTAATTATTCGATTCAGTTTTACTCATAGCCATTTAGATATTCAATGTTTTGGATAACCGGAAAATTTTAATTTGTAAATCGGATATCTGATTCCATCTGAACAAAATAAAAAATAAATAAATAAATAAGTCTAAAAATAACATTAAATAATAATATATTATTACAAACATAAAAAATATTTAATTTTAAAAATTTAATAACTAAAATAACAACTTTGATAAATAAAAATATTGTATAGCTTATAGAAAATATAATATTTCTGTAATTATAAATATATATATATATATAATTCATGTAATATATGTGTATATATATGGTTTTTATGTATCGGCTCGTATATCTATTTTTAAAAAGTATTAGTACTTGTGATTTGCTTCGTTTCTTAAGAATATCGCATATTAATATTTTTTTTGCAGAGTTACAGAGTTTTTGGTTTGAATCAAAACGAATAAAATTTTTTATCAAAATTTACTGATATTTTGCCGAGCCCTAAACCCAGCCACTCCTCTTTTAAACTTTTTATCTTTTTATTTCACTAATATCTAAACAGAAATACTAATGCATCCCAAAGTAAATATAAATTTTTATTTATCTAAATACAATTTAAACAATAACATAACAATACAAAAAATATAAATAATCAGAATAGATTAAATAGTTTATTTTATACTTAAAATATAATTGAATTAATTTTTCTCTGAATATTAAATACAGAAAGTAAATTATATTGATACTGTTCGAGTTTGCAAGTCTCTTTATTTTTTTCAATGGATAAATATATTATATGCTGAATACATGTTGTTCACTTATGATGTAGATTGTACTGCGTTAGGTTCTGACTGTTTGGTATCAACAACGAGAAGTTTATGGTGAAATAAAATTTCCTTTCAATTCAGCTCGTATTTCACCAATCAGACGAAATCAATTTTTACCATATTTTTATTTGTTTACGCTCAGTACTGTTTAGGTAACAGTATATAAGGGTTGTGATTGTATGACATCCTAAACACAACTACTTACGGCGTTGAAAACCATTTTTACTCTTGTCATCACTTAAAAGTAGACAGTCAAGTGTCTTCTTTATTTACTCTTTGCACTGTTTAAAAAGACGAAAAATATAGGGTCTGAATGAAAACCAAGAGAGAGACAAGAACTGTAGAAGAAATTATGATGCAACTGGAACTGCATTTTGTCTCTATTCACAAATTCAAAATCCGAATTAAAATAATTAATAATATATTCATGTAATGCATACAAATCATAATGTGTTGTTTTTTCAACTAAAGGTAAAATACGGGGATGAAAGACTGTCGATGGGCAGCGGTCCAATGGCTGTGTAAGATTTTGTTTTTGCCAAAAGCTTTTGTATTTTGTAATTTTTTTATCTATAACTAATACAATATTTTATTTATTTTAATTAAATTAGAAATTTCACTTATTCTAAAAATAGATTATACACTAACATAGATTTTCATACTTTAGTTTAACAAATTTATATTTTAATACATGCAGTATTTTTATTTTCTATTTAACTAATTTTTTTTTCAAATTGTCTCTTATATCTACAGTTATTTAAAAATTTAAGGTATTCTTTAATTATTTTCTTCAATGAATTATAAAACATAATATATTTAAAATAAGAATTTATATTCAGTAATATTCAGTACAAATTTTACTTATTCACTAAAAATATATTATAACATATGCATGCATTTTTACTATTTTTAATTAGTTAATATTATTTAACTTCATATAATTATAATGTTAAATTTTAAATGTTATTTCTAATTAATTATTATCAATAAAATATCAAATAATTTTTTTCTCAATGCATGTTTTTTAGAAATTCAAATAAAGATTTCGTTGATACAATAACATATATAAAATGGACAATATTAGTTCTATAGTTGAACGAAATGTACGAAAGAACCAAAACTTTAATAAAACACAAAAATATAAGAGTAAAAAAGAATATTCTTTAAAAATTTTAGTTGTTGCGAATTTTCATATAATTTCAAATTTCACATTATATCTATTAAAATGATAGTATTTTTTATTTGTGTCAACGTGACATTTCTTACCTATTTAAAATAAGTTATATTTCTTTAAGATATTTAAATTTTATTAACAAGATTAATATTTATTTAAATATAATAATTTATTAAATTGACCTAAATTATTTAATCTGCATTTATTCTATTCGATCTGCGGAATCTGTATTTGTTATATTTGATTTGTCTTTCTG